AAGAGAAATATGAATATTCCTGCAAGAACTTATAGGAATTTCACTACAGCAATAATTTATTTAAAACTACATTACATCATCATTTCAAAAATAAAGATATTTGTTCCAGAAATTAAATTATTAGAAAAACAAAAAGTTCATGATATTAGTTACATAGTTCTTAGATCAGATAATGCTGTTTCTTTAGCTTTGAATACAACTGGTCAAAACAGTAGTCTTTTAGCATGGAAATTGATATACGAAAATAATAAATATTAACTAATACAATTTACATGCTCATTATTTTAATAAAAATTCTAACCAGGATTAAAAAATGAATACCTATTGCATATAACATTTTGCAGAAATGTTAATACATAAAAAAAAACAGGAGAATGCAGTAATTAAGGCTTATGAGTCAAAGTTTGATGTTAGTATTAGGTTAAACACACATTTGGTGATACATTTTGCCAATTTTTTTTTTTAAATCCTGATGCAATCCTGATTTCTTTAAATTATAATTTGATTCCATCTTTAATAATTTTTTGTCATACTTTGGGAAAGTATGAAAAGATATTTGTATCATATTTTATTGAACACTGTAGTATACAACAGAATATTTTACTGGGCTTATTTTTGTTGCCACTCATTATTCTCATTCACTGAACTCATAACAAGTTCAAGCATTTCTTGTTTGACAAGTCTATATATTTTTCCAAACAGATGAGTCCTGAATGATTACAATAAAAGGATTCTACTGTATACATACATACATAAAACCATAGAACAAGAATTTCTGAATATTTATATGCTATTCTTTACTTAAATTATGACAAAAAAGTAACTTCAGGTAACATAAACTTGCTTAGCACATATTTCTTTTATAATGAAATGTTTCAGAACTCCCTTTAAAAAATTTTCTTAATTATGGCTATATGTGAGTTGGAGATTTCACCAAAGAAAATCTTTCAGACCTTATATTCACCTTGTTTAAGGCTAATGTCAGACAAGCATGATTTCACGTCCATTGTTTTTAATGGACATCACGGGAATGCAAAAATATATGGGAGCAGTTACATGGATGCATACCTGAAAAATAACACTGGTGCTACACAAATGGCCTGCTGGATTGTCCCTAATACTCTTGTGACAGAATGTGACTGGTGCGTGTTGGGAGATATACTTGATGCCTATGATTGTCAGATAAGAACGAAAAACAATGGATACTAACATTGTTTTCAGGAAGTGCCAGATCGATGTTGTTCCTGCTGAAGGGTTTATGGTGACTACAAACTTTAAAAACTGAATATTAATGTAAGTAAAATGACCATAGAAGTTAGTGAGTGACTTGAATTGTGGGGAATTTCATCTGGACTTTATAAAGACAGAAATAAGGAAAAGGAAGGCTGGTTACAATAAATGGATGTAACCCAATATTGCCTATGTCTGTTTTTGTTTTTAAATACTTCTGTACATAATAAAAAAAAAGCATATCACAATCTATGAGATCCATGTTGACATATACATGTATGAAATAAAACTGACTACTAATGTATGCCATGGAATATAGCACTCGTCCAACAACTGACTTCATTTCCATGACTTTTCATATTCATAAATTGAAATAACAGCATCCATCTGCTTTGACATTCATCTGACATTAGCCTAAAAGTGCAGTAGTACAAAATAAAAGAAAAGATTTGATTGGAGGTAGAAGCTATTTGAATGATCAGTAGAAAAAATGACAAATTTCAACCTCTGTTGTCTTAGAGAACAAACTGCTTCATTCAGAAAAGAAAGCATATTGGAAAATGTCCATTTTGTAATTGTGACTAAAGTAGTCAAACTGGAAAAAAAGTCATTAATTTGGATACTTTTTGTGTAATCTTGAAACTTATTCTATCATTTTGGCAGATTGCAATTTTTTTTATCTTACTCCTTTTAATCTTAGGTTACTTTTCAGATAATTTCACTTATATAAAAGAGAGTAAGCAATTTTTCTTAAAAATTATATAACAATGCTAGTTGCAACAGATACTGTATATAACTTAATTATGCTTAATTTACCACTTAAATCTGAAGTTCAAGGTTTGTCTTTGAAAAAAAAAATTAAAAATTTTGAATGAAATGACGGCAAATCAAAAAATAGAAATAGCAATAAAATACAGGATAACAAAAAGTATATTATAAACAATTAAAAAAGCATGAAAAAATTAAAACACCTTGTGCAAATGGTTTGAGCCTGCCTGAAAATATAAGTTAACAGTAAAAAAAATGAATACAGAAAAAATGATTAACCACTGTTTGGCTCAATTAATCATTGTTAAATGTTCATGCAGTTGTTTGGCTAACAATATCAATAAGTTTAGATGTAAACAAAATTACTTATTGTGACATTATCATAATGCCATGCTGCAATTTTTAATCATATTTTAATTTGAATAAATATAATTTTTGATATTAAATCTGAAACTTTGATTACTTTTTCTCTATGATAATGTTATTTTCCTATGACTTTATCACAAAAATGTAAGATCATATGAATTTGTATATCTTTGAGAGTCAAGTAATATACGAGGATAGTCCCAGAAGTACCCGACCTAACAAAAAAGACACAAAAAAATTTGGTAAAACATATCTTTACTTTTCAACATAGTCTCCTTTTAGCTCGATACACTTTTTCCAGCAATGTACAATAGCTTCGATCCCGTTTATAGTGAGAACTGTCGAGCTTCTCAAAATAGCCATCAACCACAGACTCCACCTCTTCATTGTTGGCAAATCTTTTATCACCAAGCCATTTTTTTAAGTCTGGAAAGAGAAAATAATCCGAGGGGGCTAAATCTGGCGAATAGAGTGTGTGAGGAAGCAATTTGAACCTTAACTCATTGATTTTGGCCATCGCAATAACGGATGTGTGAACTGGTGCATTGTCTTGATGAAACAACACTTTCTTTTTCGCCAAATGTGGCCGTTTTTTCTTGATTTCATTACTCAAGCACTGCAATAAGTTTGCATAATACTTGCCGTTGATTGTTTTTCCTGGGCATATCCCAAAAAACTGACGCCACGACCTTGCCAGCAGATGGAACTGTTTTCGCCTTCTTTGGAGCTGATTCTCCCCTTTCAGTCCATTGTTTTGACTGTTCTTTCGTCTCAGGTGTGAAGTGATGGACCCATGTTTCATCCATGGTTATGAATCAACGCAAAAACTCGGCTTTATTGCTGTGAAACATTGCCAAAGACTCGATTGAAACATCCTCACGACTCTATTTTTGTCCCATTGTGAGCAAACGCAGCACCCATCTTGCGCACAGCGTTCTCATGTCCAAATTTTCAGTTAAAATGTGATGTACAACACTTTTTGAAATGCCTACCATGTCTGCTAGCTCTCACACTTTGAGTTGACTGTCATCCATTTTGTGGATTGCCAATACCATTGTTGGACTGCCAATACCATTTTGTGGATTTTTCCACCATTTCTGGCATGGTCACCTCACTTGGTCGACCACTATGATGTTCGTCTTGGCAGCTCATAAGGCCTCGTTTAAACTCTGCCACCCAATATTTTATTGTTGTAAACGAGGGAGCAGACTCCCCCAGAGTAGAATCTAGCTCAGCTTTAATATTTGTTGGACTGAAACTTTTCAAATGAAAGTATTGTATCACATAACGATGACAAATTTTTTCCATGTTTACAAATTCACTGAGATTGTTCATTATTTATGGCTGTCCAAAAAATACTATACAATGTAACGTCTTCAAACTTCAAACTTAAGCTTTATAAGGTTGATACTTTCAAACACAGTCGTTTTTTTTTTTTTCAAACAAGTACCGTCATCTATGTCAGGTTGGGTACTTCTGGGATGACCCTCGTATTACCGATCTCAGTTTATCATAAGGACCAATTCTATACCATATTTATTGCTCTATATTGTAAAAACTTAGAATGGAAATCATGTGACTTCTGGTCCGGACTAGAAGTTTGTATATCCTAATCCTAAGCTTTCCATATCAGGTCTCGGATTTTCATCCATCTAACTCTGTTCTCGAGAATAATGAAGGAGAGACAGATGATATTGGAAATGTACAAGTCTACAATTTGAAAATACATATAATTTTTTATGCAAATGACAATGTGACTCATAATGCAATTTACTTTTAATACAAGCAACATTTTGGTCTAACTATTCGTGTTAACAAAATGCATTCCAGCTTTCTGAATTTATTTAAAAGTACACTTTATAAAACTAAAAAATTTTGTTATTATAAAACACTATTTCAATTCAATGAAATTAATTATGAGAAAATCTATGTTTTTATCTAATAATATTTTGTTAATATAAATGCAAATATTTTGAAAACTAAAAGCTAAATATCAGCAAAATAAATTTGAAATCATACAGAAATATATTAATCTGTATTATGTACAGAAAATCATAATCTCAATTTTCTAACTTCATTTTAATTTGATTAAATTCACAAGTTAATTCAACATACCACATTTATTCTAATAAACAGTGCATTGTCTATAACATTTTTCATCTTGTAGCTGCACTGTTTATTAAAGGGTAACTATTACTTCTATTCCTTAGAAATTGAGGATAACTATTATTGTAGTGAGATTATAAATGGAATAAATCCTGTAACTTTCTTCGCTTTATTATTAATCAATAAATCAAACATTCAACACACTTGCACTTTATTTCAACATACGATAACAGTGAAATGCTGAATAGGCTGCAATTTTTCAGTTAAAAATAAGCCTTATCTTCCTCCAATAGACAGGACGCTTATTATTAGAGGATGCTGTTTATTAGAATAAATAGGGTAGATTAAAATAGTAACTTTTCCTTCCAAAACTGTATTACAAGAAACTTTATTAATACAAACTAAAATAAAGTCATAGACAAACTTTGTATCACATATTATATTAAAGAATTTTGTATAAAAATAGCTTTTTAACAGAATTTATAATTTAAGTAACTTTTAAAAAAATTTTTTCTGAATCTTAAATTTACCTGTTTAACATCATCGTCAGAACCATCTTCTTCTTCAGCACTTTCATATTCAGAATCACCACCGGGTTTCTCACCTCCACTTTCCTGCTAAGAAAAATAACATTAAAATTTTTATTTTGTAAAAGAATGAAGCCATTTTATGCTTAGCTTAATTTACATTATAGTCTGTAACAAATTTCAAATATGTAGTCCTTCTGACATCTTCTATCTTGCCAAGAAACAGAGAAATAAAATAGTTGTTAATTGCATTTTGTCTCAATGACAGTTTATTTGTAGCTAGATAAAAAATAGTATCTTGTTCAATATCACTTAAAGTGGATGCTACATAAAAATTACTTTATAAAAATATTTTTTCTCCAATAACTTGGACATTAATGAAACATCTACCTTAGAATATTTAATATAGATCTGATTTATATATATACTAGCTGGTAAGCCTGGCATTACCTGGGCAAAAGATAAAAACAAACTTTAAAATTTGCTAATTTAATACTTCTAACCCTTCTATTGTATTATATTATAGAATTTGGTTTACATAACTACAAAGGTTATCTTACATATATGATCTTACCCGTTTTCACTAAGTGCAAGAATTAGGTTCCCCTCTTCCGAGGCTAATTAGAGAATTTTTAGATGGGTCTAAAAATATGTTCAACTTTCCACAAAAATGCAAAAAACCTCATCTAAAATAGTACGGTAGAATCTGAGTTCTTCAGAGTAATCCTTAACCCTCTCTCTCTCTCCCATAGGGGGATTTCCAAAAATCCTTCTTAGTGTACATCCTCATGATGTACCCTAACTGTGTACCAAATTTCAACTTTCAACTCCTAACCATTTGGGCTCTGTGCTGATTATTATCATCAACCCATCTTGATTATATAAGATAGCTGAAGGTAGACATAAATACTCTCTTCTCAAACTGCACTTACTAAAAAATAACTACCATTTACTAACCTTTAACATGCAGTCTATTTTATTAACGTAATCTAACCTTTTTGATCAAATTAATTGACCTTCGTCAGGATCAAACAAACAATTTTTTGATACAAAATGTTACTCACAAAAAACCTTTAACCAGTGCGAAATAAAATTTAACAGTCACTACAACGCTTTCAGACCCCTCTTGGGTCTTCAGGTAAAAAATTGTTTGGAACAATTTTTAAAGATGAAAAAATAACAGAATAACATACGTTTAACAGTAATGAATGTAAAAGTTTCTACATAACATTGAATGCTATTTTTAAAAAATTATTCTTCACTATCCATATGGTGGTCGGAGAGCCTTGGTGCCAAGCGAAACCACACATCGTAAACGTTTCCTTATCTCCTTTACACGCCTCCCCCCTTTAGGCATAAGATGTAGTTAATCCTCTGGCTGCATTAGGGCCTGCCAAGCCAAGGAAAGAGTGATCTCATCTCTAGAATTACTGGATGATGATGTACTGTAAGCCCTATAGATCTTGATTAGGGTTTGGGAAGTCTCGACATTCTCAAAGTCCCGGGACATGAGACAACCCATGATCAAAATCCCAGGACATCCCGGGATTTCAAAACTTCTCAGAATAAAATTAGAACAGTGTTCATTTTTGGTGAGATGTATCAATAAAAAAGCAATTTTAGTAAAAATCAACATTTATTGAACATAAAAATCAAATCCTAACATTTATAATGTTAATTAAAGTCTAAACAATTTGTATGTTTAATTTTTATAATCATAGATTCATTTTTTGGCAGTAAAATCTTAAAATTAAAAAACCAACTTAGTAATCATACTAATCATCACCTAGTCTCTATTCACTAGTCATATAAATAATATAATGAACTAGCAATTAGACATCTTTTCTGATTTAATAAAATAGGCTTTTAAAAACATCAGACCATTTACAGCTTTGTCCGACAATCTGTTTCTGATTTTTGTAATAATGCCTCCAGACAAGGAGAACACTCTCTCGTTTTCGACAGATGTCGGTTTTATTGTGTTTAAAGCTTTATAAAGTAGTTCCAAACTTTCAGTACATTTTCTGATTGCTTCAAATAAATGGAACTCCTTTTTTAATGCTGCTCTTGATCTTTTTGCAAAAATTTTGTGTACATTTTCTTCAATATGTTTGATCGCCTGTTCCATTTGACTTTGAAACGACTCATCGGGTTCGTTGTGTACTGCAGAGCTACTGGTACTGTGGGTTCGGCGTCCATTATTTCCAAATCTGGTGTTTGGATAAGAGGGATATTTTCAAAAAGTCTGTAATACAGATCTTCCACAAAAGCAATAAGTGCAGTTTTATTCAAATTCAAAGTAAAAAAATCTGTATTTTGTGACTGAGCTGCGGTGGCCAGTGTGCAAATATTTTAACAAACATATAACCCGTTGTGACCTTCTTTCTTCTAGATGGGCTTTCAATGTTTCAAAGAACCGTACCGCCAGATTATCATTTGTCGTTGTCGATTGAATTTTTTTCAGTAAAATGTAAATTATTGCTTCGACAGTGTGTAACAAAGAGTTTTGTCTGCTTAAGGCTTCTACAGCTATCTTGACTGGCTGCAAAAGAAGAAGATTGTCTTCATTCCATTTGTCTAACATGTTTAAATCAATCAATGCTTTCTTTACACAATTTTCGAGCTTCAAAAACCTTTCTGCCATTACAATTACAGTAGAACCCCTCTAATCCATCACCTTTGAGACTGGGGGTATGGTCGAAATGCAAAAAAGGTTGGATTATCAGAAAAAAGGAAAATAAACAATCTTCCTCTTTGTCCAGTAGCACTGCTAATTTTTCATTTAATGAAAGAGTAACGTGTTTACATTTCACTCCTGACATGTTGAAAACACACACAAAACTGTACATGTACACACAATGCAAAACATATACTGTAATGAACACAGAAAAACGCCATGGACGGCGAGTCACCGACGAGTCGGGACAAGTTTCTCGACTCCGACCACAATCAGATTAACCAGAGTGATGGACTAGCCGAGGGCAGACTAGAGGGGTTCTAGTGTATAGAATTTCACCTCATTTTGACATCCAGTAGTAAACTGAGTTCTTTTCCAAATTCTGATTTAACACATTTCTGTAATTGGCTGTTTTTCAGTAGACTCTTTTTAAACAATTACACTAGGAATCCAGTTTCATCAAGCACTCCTTTAATTTCATCAATTGGTTGTAATGGGCAGTTTGTTTCGTAGCTGGCATTGCAGTCCTCTTCTTCATCAGAAGAGTTTTTGTTCTCCATGATTTCATCATCACTATAATCAGTATCTTTGGAGGTAGAAACTGCGGCTATGGCAGTAGCCTGATTTTTTTATAAAATGTGTCTATAACTACTAGATGTATTGCGTGGTTCAAGCATGGGATCATCTCGCTATCCCTTCCAAACTTCTTCATTACATTTGGACCATCGCTGGAGGTGGCCACAATATGCTTTTCAAAATCCAATTGAAATCTTTTCAATGTAATTTCGACTATTTATCTGGTCTCTCCGGCACCACACTTTCCGGGTATATACACTAATCCCAAATTGAAAACTTCTCCGTTCACACCATGCAAACACAAATTAAAGTACCTCCGGTTTCGGACGCTGGTCCATTCGTCAACTGAAAGACTGAAACGTGTACCAGAAGCTACAAAATCTTTTAAAGTCTGAATCATTTCTTCTTTTCTTTCTTCATAACAACTCAATATGATTTTCATGACATCAGTTTCATTCTTAGGCATTTTATAACATCTCTGGATAATACTCTCATGAATGAATTTACACTTTGTGATTGCCCTTATTGTAAGTCCATCCTCTGCCACCAAGCAGGAAATTTCTTCAGGAAAAGACTTTTTTGCAACATATCCTATTATTGTAGACTGCTTTTCAGTTTTAATTTTTTTAGATTCCAGTTCACAAGATGTCCCAGGCTGTATAACTGATTTTGATCTTTCCAGCTGATTTACAAAAATATTGTGAACTCTTTGCAGGTGCCTGTCAAGGCCTATAGTATTCGACCTTTTACATGAAATTTGTTTTGGACATAATGAGCGCTGTGCGGTTGATTCGTTTATTTTTTTATAATGTTTCCAAACTTTTGCTTTATGTTCCATATTAAATGAATAGGTTGGGATCTATTTAAATTTGTTTACAATCTGTAACAATAATAATAATCCAAAATTAATGTTATATCTTTGTTTACTGAGTATCACTATCATATCACAGCACTTCACCTCATTCAGTGAAATTGACGACTGACTGACTGAGCTGACAGTGTTGACAAAGACAGTCACAAATATAGCAATCTCATACACAAACATCACAAAATAACAATATGGTGGCAAACGCATTTGTAAAGATTATCTCTTAACAGAGTAAGGTTAAAAGTCACACAGCCTTGTAAATTACCCCCACCTGCGTTGTTTATTTGTAAACACGAGGGAGAACAAAGGAAGCGTCGCTCAGCTAACCTTTTGAAAATAAAATTATTACAATACAATTTCAATAAGTGTGTCTCGAGTCTTGACCCAAAAGTCCTAGAACCCTAGACAATTAAATTTAAAACAAGTCCCGGGACTTCGAGACATGAGACATCCCAGGACCCAAACCCTAATCTCGATCTGCTTCAACCATTTGAGATGGTCTAAACATGATGTGGTGACAATTAATTTAGCTTTTGAAAAGCACACTCTGATCTCAGGATCAGATGCATAAGTTGATAACGAAGTGAAGCATTTATTGTGTTGAATGTCATGCATATGCTTCTTCAATCTGAGCCCAACAGCATGTTCTGTCTAACCTATGTATACTAAGTCTTTATCAAAATGGTGGTCCCTGAGCATGACCTTATACACCCCTGGAAGTCTTTCCATATTAGACCTGTCTTTTCCATTGCGTAGTATATCAAATATAGAGGGGCATCTTCTGTATGCCAGGGAGATACCCCGTTGCTGTGCGATTCTACTATATAACGATTTCAAAAGTGGGTTGTAGGTAATAGGAATCATCTGCATATCTTTGTTTTGGTTGCCATTTTTTGAATTATCCTCCTTGGAAGAATCATTCCACTGATCTGTTGTGAAATTTTTTGTATAATGTTGTGGTAACCATGCTGCTTGGCTACATTATGCAAGTATTGCAACTAATTCCCATTGGGTAGAAGAGTGTGTGTGGGCTCTTTTAACCAGGGCCCTAAACATAGCCAACTTGTACCGGACTGGGTCACATGAGTCTGCCAGAATGTAGGTGGGATGGTCGGACGGTTTACAGTACAGAGATGTGCATGTTCGGTCCCCCAAAGATAATATTCAAATCCAGAAAATGCACTGTTGAGTTGCTATGCTGCTCAATCTCCAGGAATAAGCCATATAGATTGTTGTTCATTTCATTCATAAATCAGGCAATATTCGGAGAGCCCCTCCACATAATAATAATGTCGTCTACGTAGCGCTTGTAAAGGATGATACTTTGGAGGAAATTCGGCAGTATTCTATTCTCCAGTTGCCTGATTACTAACTCAGTTTTATTTTGCACTGGTTAAAGATTTTGTATGAGTAATGGTTTGTTTTGTACACCCTGGTGTGCAGTTTTTCTATATTATAACAATTTTTTGATTTATGACAAACAAAACTGAGTATAGAACATTTTAACTTTAAATTTATTTATTCTATTTATTTATTTTTGGACTTGCACAATAAGTGCCAAGAAAGTGTTTAAAGTTAAAACATTCTATAATCGGTTTCATTCGTCATAAATCAAAAAATTGTTCATTCAATCCTAACGAAGGTCAATTAATTTGATCTAAAACATTAGATTACATTAATAAAATACAGTCGACCCCCCTATAAGATCATTGATTATTCCGTTTTATATGAATTTCATGTTGTACGAGTCACTTAAATTTTACAAATACGTGAGTCGTTCACAGCCCGGTACACGTATTTGTAAAATCTAAGTGACTCGTACAACATGGAATTCATATAAAACGGAATAATCAATGATCTTATAGGGGGGTCGACTGTAGACTGCATGTTAAAGGTTAGTAAAGGGTAGTTATTTTTTGTATACATCAATCTTAATAAAATTTAAAGTGTAAATTTGGTAAATCATAATACAATGTATGCTCTGATATCTTTGATTATTTACACAATCATCATCAAGCTTAATTCTTAAACATAAGTCATTATTATTTTAGTTAATTTTATTTTACATATTCATTTTAATGTATTCTATATTTTACTTTAAATTCCCAATTGATTCTTACATGTGATAAAGGTTATGTAAATAGTTTAGAATATTTCTTTACATAATAAATTTTTTTTATTGGAGTAGAGGTTTAATTTATTTAATATGTTACTATCCAGTTAGGAATTATATGTTCAATATGCTTGTTTTTAAGTGTTGGAATTTTATTTTTATCATAATACTATGTTATTAATATATAACTTAATATTCAAAATAATTTACATATGTTTTATATATAGGTATAGAGTAATGCATAAGTTTAGTACACACAAATGCAATATACATATCTTGATTGCATTAAAAGTTAACAATATCGCAAACAATTCATTTTCAGCAATAAATCTACAAACCTAATTCTTTAATTAATGCCAAATGATTGGTCATATTATCAGGCTATAATAAGGTTAACTTTGTAAGTAATATTTTTCTTTTTGGCAGAAAAATTGACAGTTCAACAAATTTTTAATATTTTTGTCTAAAAAAATTTACTACTTTTTTGACTTTTATCAGTTTGATCAGGAAAAAATTTTAATTACAATCATAAATTTGAAATGCAAATCTAAATAAAATTTAAACTATTATTCTGGAATATATGAAATGTAAATTAAATATGCGTAAATAAACTTTACTAACTTTCAATGCAAACAAGAAAAATATATCCATAACTTATGTGAAATATTATATAATATTGATTATTAATTAATTAGATTTGCAATATCTAATTATGAAGTGAAAAAAGCCCATTTTTTTTCCCTCCACCTGGCATTTCTGTTGCCCTCTAGCCCGATAGATAAAAGACAATCGAATAACCTTACAAATCAACAATCTTTAACGTTGCTTTGAATAAGTTTTGGAGATAAATCCAAACATCTAATTATTGATAAAAATATCAAAATTGGTTAAATTATGAGGTAAAGAGAGCTAGAACACTTGGCTAAAAGTATCAACAACCTGGCCAAATTGTCAAATTGTTACAGCCTGTATCAGCCAGACCAGTGACACATCTTGACCTTAGGACAACATCACCTGATTTTCCTCCCACACTTAAAAGGATAAAAAGGGCAAGCACTCGAAGTTCGGAGTGGACACTCCCAAGAAGCTAGAGGTCAAGCTTCCGTCCATCACCACTCTCGTCTTGCCAGCTCTTGTCTCCCAAGATGATCTCGAGGTGTTTTACGGACATTCCCACATACAGGACCAGAAGACATTGGACTATTTAAGAGGTATCCAATATAGAATTGTGTAAACTCTCTCTTTCTCTGTATCTTAGTTGTTAAGTAACTAGCTTGTCGATTGTAACTGCCATAGATATATTTAATCCTGTTTTGTTACTCATTAAACTTTTGTTATTTGTTAACCCAGTAACCTGTCTTTATTCGGAGAATGGTCACCTTATTGACAGACTCATCACACCTCCCAATTGATGTTAGAAAAAAGTCCTCCTACATAGTTCTAAAATGGTATAGCCATCCAGTGACAATTGAGCAGGACTTATCGTCCCAACACCGATCAAAGAAGTAACAGTGAATACCTGTAACCTCTGGCTTTTCACAATATATACTAAACATATAATATACAAAATTCAAGCATTAGCTTATCTCAATGATTAAAATATTATAATTATGTTTGATATTTTTAGAATTATTAATAAACACTTTCTTTTAACAAAGCAATCATCAACTATAAAATACTCATAATAATCTATGTCATCAGTAGAAGAGAGCAATGGTAATGATATGAAATAAAAAATATTGATTCCAGTTATTTAATTACTTCAGTATCAAAAGATAAACATAAAATCTGTAATGAAGTTGTAATTCAATTTGTTGTTAATGCTTCTATTGTTAGTTACATAGAACTTATTTTTTAAGTTACGAAATTTAAAAAAAAAAATTAAAACTATGAACCATGAATGAAAATCATGTCTGTCTGATTGAAAAAAGTGTATGTCCTTACATTAATATCTTTTTTTAGATTTGCTTATTATAGAATCAAAGAAATTATAAAAGATGTACACAAATTCAATTATACTTTTTACATTGGTTTAAAAATTAAAAAATTTAAATTAAACTATTTTTTTTTAAATCACAAATAAATAAATGTAGTAAAAAGTGCACTTGAATTATTAAAATATGTTAAATTTTTATGTTTTAAGTTCACTTTTGTTAAATTCTCATACAATTAATTTATTAATATAGAGCCATAATGCAGTTTAACTAAAAATTTAGAAAAATTAAGCATTTAATAAAATAAATTCAATAAATTGTTTCATATACTGTATATAAATTTTTATTTATAATCATTTTATTTTTCTATGCAACATGAAAATCATAAATTTCTATAAAATCCAAATTTTATTTATAAATTTTAAATATTTTTTACATTTTATTAATATAAATTTGCAGATAAGCAACTATCAAATCTTTCATATTTATATTTTCAATTAAGTCTAAAAGCAAAAATCAAACAGTATTCATAAACATAATTACACAATTTC